CCCCAAAACCCCAAAACCCCAAAACCCCAAAACCCCAAAACCCCTTTTTGGTATGTTTTGGCTGAACTGGATATTTAACGATAAATAATTTTACAAAATTATTTAATATGGAACCTACAACTGAGCCAAAACCAGAGGAGATCACCAAGTCAGCTGAAGATTCAGCTAGCAGCACTAAAGAGGAAGAGAAGAAGACTGAACAGAAAGTCACCGCTTTCGAGGTAGAAGCTGGGGAGACAGGAGTCGATTATAATAAACTTATTGATCAATTCGGATGTGACAGGATTAATGAAAAGCATCTTGAAAAAATTGAGGAGCTTACAGGGAAGAAGCCACATAGATTCTTAAGAAGAGAGATCTTTTTCTCCCATAGATCTCTTGACTGGTGATTGAAGTCATTTGAAACAGGAAGAGGGTTCTATCTATATACCGGAAGAGGTCCAAGTTCATCTTCTCTCCATATTGGACATGCAATTCCATTTATTTTTACTAAGTATATGCAGGAGGCTTTTGATCTTCCATTAGTTATCCAATTGACTGATGATGAGAAGTTCTTCCATAAACAAGACCTCACTTTTGAGAATGTGCATAAGATGGGATATGATAACATCAAAGATATTATAGCATTTGGTTTTGACCCAGAGAAAACTTTCATTTTCTCTGACATTGATTATATCAAATACTTGTACCCAAACGTTTGTAAAATGCAGAAAGCCTTGACATTGAACAACGTAAAGGGAGTATTTGGATTTAATGATAGTGACAATGCAGGAAAGTATGCTTTCCCAGCAGTTCAAGCAGCTCCATCTTTCTCAAACACATTCCCACATATCTTTGGAAAGAAGAAGAACGTACCATGTCTGATCCCACAAGCCATCGATCAGGACCCTTACTTCAGGATGACAAGGGATATTGCGAAGAAGTTGAAGTACGAGAAGCCAGGATGCATTCAGTCAAAGTTCTTCCCTGCTATCACTGGCCTGAGCGGAAAGATGAGTGCTTCTTTGGCCAATACTACTATCTACCTCTCTGATGATCCAAAGCAGATAAAAAACAAGATCAAGAAACATGCCAAGAGCGGAGGTGGTGAAACTCTCGAAGAACACAGAGAGAAGGGAGCTAACCTCGAAGTAGACATTCCTTACCAGTATCTGACCTTCTTCATGGAAGATGACGAAGAGCTAGCCAGAATTGCTGAGGAATACTCTAGTGGAAGAATGCTCACAGGAGAAATTAAGCAGATCTGTGCAGATGTAATCACTGAGTTCATCACTGAATACCAGGAAAGAAGGAAGAAAGTGACTGATGAAGATGTCCAATTGTTCACTTCAATCAGACCAATCAACCCTAAGTCCTCAAAGATGCCTGAAAAGCCAGCTGAGGAGGCTAAGAAGTAAGCTCCATAGCATGATTCAATTAGTGGGTTTTCATAAGGGGTTTTGGGGTTTTGGGGTTTTGGGGTTTTGGGG